CTTTCCCTAAATTTGTTTGTCTATTCATTCTTTTCATTGATGTATTCATTTTACTAGTGGTTTCTGAGCACCTACTGTGTGCTGGTCAGCATTCTAGGTGATGGAGATACAGCAGTGATGAAGACATCACTTCCCTTCCCTCATGGAGCTTACAGTTTAGTGGAGGAGACAGGCAATAAACAAGTAAGCAAATGAATGAGTAATTTCAGAGCATGATAAGTGCTACAAAGAAAATAAAGCCAGGTAAGAGAATCGAGTGTGGTGTGGTCAGGAAAGGCCCCTGCCCCCATCCCCCAGGACCAGAGACTCCCAGAATTAGTCTGGGACAGACTTGATTTAGGTACAGAGCAGTATGGGGAGGTTTAGTCACCAATTTCATTATTCATTTCTGGCCTAGTCGTACTGACATTGCCTTATTGATGGCTAGTCTGGCAGAAAGATTTCTTAAATTGTGTATGTTTATTGAAACTATTGATACACACCAAATCACTTTTTAATTGTATCGAAGTAAGACGTGGACATGATTGAAAAATCAAATCCTGTGGAAGGGCATGGCGGTCCTCTGCCGCCCTCACCTCTTCACCCCCAGTCCTTGTCTCCAAGGACAACTACATGTAAATGTCTTAAAGTTCTCCCGAGAGTCACCTATATCTCTGTCACTAAACAATACACATAAACCAATCACTCCTGATTTAGCATGCTTAGACAGTATCTGCTGATTCTTGCTGTCATAGGTGATGACTTTGCTTGCTGACCGGACCTTCATGTTTTGATCATTCTGTTCCGGTTTTTGTTCTTTCTTAATTACTGTTAAAAATATAAATGATATGCCTAAACTCCTGTATTTCAGTCATCATCTTTCAGTGATGTCAGTGGTGTCTCTTGATTCACCTGGATGTAAGTGCATATAAGTGTATATTAGTGCTCTCTACCTTTACCTCTACCTTTCCTTCCCCTTCCATCCCACAACTTCTATTAGTATATGCTTACTTTTTACAACACTAATCACAGCTATATTTACTTGTGTTAACATAATGAAGACATCCATTCTTCATCCATAGGTTGATTGCAATAGTTGAAAAGCACGAAGAGCAATTGCATTATAATAGCTACATAAATATTGTTCATTGGTATACTCTGATTACATTTTCTTGTTTGTAGGTTCAAGAAAACAACACTTAGGCCACTCAAAGTAAAATTTTCTTACCAGAAATGTCAAGTAGATTCTCCTTACACACCGTAAATTATTCAAAATCAGGTCACATTTCCTTTCCTTTCATAAACCATGAACAACCTGTGTGTTTTTGTGTGTGACTTTGATTTTCCTGGACTTTCTGGTTGCCTTTGTTTTTTTTCTGGTTTGGAAAAGAACATGCCTTCACCACATCCACAATCTTACCTGTTTTCTTACTTTTTCAGTGCTTTTTTTCTTAGAGACTTTCCTCTTGGAGTATACTTCCTACTCGGATTTTGCCTGACAGCCCTCTGGCCCTGCTGCACAGCGGTCATCATGGGATTTCTTTTCACTGGAATCCACCTATAGTTATTGTTCACATTTTTCTCTTTCTTGGTTTTGACCCTTGTCAGGCTAGAGTGTGGCCTTAGGTAACTTCTTCAGAAAGGGTATGTAGAAAAAAAGCTTTGAGTCCCTGAGTATCAAAAATGACTTTCTTTTCTCTTCACTCTTGTCTACTAATACCTTGATACTAATTTCTGTGTTCAAAATAATCAAGCCTTGCTCTCATGATTTCTAGCACCCAGCATAGCCCATGAAAATGCTACAGCAAATCCTTATTCATTTCTGACCTGTTTGTTCCTTCTGGAAGCATTTATTCCTGATGTTCTGAAATTTCATAGGGGTATTTTTTTGATGTGCTGTTGTTCATTCATCCACTTGGCCCTTTCAGTCTGAAAAGTCATGTGTTTCTTCAGCTCAGGGAAATTTTATCTCTTTGGTATTTTCTCCCCTCCATGTTTTCGATTCTTTTTCTGGAAGGCCTATTAGTTAGGTGGTGGACCACTTGAATTGACCCCCTCTGTCTGTCTTTTTAATTTTTTCCCCCATATTTTCCATTTCGCTTTTTCTCTCTGTTTTAAGAGATTTTCTTGACCCTCCTGCT